GGGAGACAGCCCGAGCTGCGGTCTTCCCCTACCCCGGGAAAGCTGTGACCCCCCCGCAGCAGCGGCGGGGCGGGGTGGGGGACCCGGGAGAAGATGGCGACGCCGGGAAGCGAACCCCAACCTTTCGTCCCTGCCCTCTCGGTATCTACTCTGCACCCACATCATCATCCTCACCACCACCACCACCACCATCACCAGCACCACGGAGGAACCGGAGCCACCGGCGGGGCGGGAGGCGGCGGCGGCGGCAGCGGGGGCTTCAACCTGCCCTTGAACCGGGGTCTGGAGCGAGCGCTGGAGGAAGCGGCCAACTCCGGGGGGTTGAACCTTAGCGCCAGGAAATTGAAGGAATTTCCTCGGACCGCGGCCCCCGGGCACGATCTCTCGGACACGGTGCAGGCAGGTGAGAGAGGGCCGAGGGGTAGGGTAGTGGGTGTGGGTAGCTGTCTCAGTGCTGTCTGTCATGCCTTCCCGGACGCGGTGGCGAGAGAGCTGGCCTCGCTGGGGGGCCATCGATCCGTGTTCGTCAGAGGAAGGGACAGGCATGGACGCGGGAGAAGCGGGCGGTGCAGCGGGCACGTTGGCCCCAGCCTCGCCCGGCGGGTCAGGGCCAGGAAAGCGTGGGTTCGCCGGGCCGCTGCGCCCGGGAGAGCGCGGGTCTCTCGCTCCCCACCCTGTGGCGGCGGCGCGGGGGAAATGACTACGGGGCTGAGACTTGCGGGCGCGCAGTGGAAGTGGGAGGTTTCGGGCGTACGAGTCGGCTTCCTGGGCCCTGCGCCGGGGCTGAGAACCCGAGCCCCAACAGCCGCTTCTGCGCCTCCAACCAGTTCAAGTCTTTCTTGCATCCAGGCGTCGCCCCTCCTGGTGGGGAGGCCCAGACAAAGGTGGCACGCCCTCGGCCGAACCGGGGGCACCGGCGCGGTGCCTCGAGGCTGGCTCGGCCACAGCGCCGTACGATCGGGCGACTCGGGGCCGCCCGCGAGGTGCCGCGGCTTCCTCTTCCTGCGCCTGTGAGAGGAAGGAGCCGCAGGGATTGTAGTGACCCGAATCGGCTGTGGCTTTGGAAGCGATCGGCTCGCTACTTCCTAGCCTTTCGCAGACCGCCCACACAGTTTGGTTTCTGCTGCTGAGCCTACCTGCTTCTCAATAACCCGGCCTTTGCCCGGGCCCGGGAAGGGACGGCAAGGCATAGTAAAAGAAAAGTAATTAACACGAGCTGGTTTTCCTGTGTGAGTCTGGCAAGTTGTAACTCGCGCCAATGAGCAGCGTAACTTTTTCAAGTTATGTCATGTGTTGACATATTTCTGAAACGTCTGCCTTCTGTTTGGAGTGGGAGTTGCAGGAGTGGGATCTATAAACAGAAGGGAGCGTGGTGGAATGGGATTTAGGCCTTGGGGTCTGTACAGAACTGACTTCATTTCCAACCATCCTGTACAGTTTTAGCTCATTGGGGAAGGATTTGTATCCTAGCTAGCAGAGCAGTGGGTGGACTGCAGGGCAGTGGGTGGACCCTTTTGGGAACCACTGCCCAGACTTCTGGACTGTCATTGCCTCATGGGCTGAGTGTCAGGCCCCTGGACCCGGATGGCTTGACTCCCAGCACAAAATCTCCCAGTTTCCTCTTGTAGAGGAAGAAGGGGGTGGGCAAAGGAGCCAGTAGGCTTTTGGAGGATAGGTTTCCAATGCCCTTTTTTCCTTTAAAGCAATAAACATTTATTTAGAGTCCTAGTGAATATTTAGATAAGAGTTCTGAGTTCCCTGGAGGCAAAAGAGCTCTCTAGGGTCATTAAACTTTGTAATTTGGATTTGGGGACAGTCAGGAATGGGAAAGAAAGAGGGAATTTCCAGAGCTGAGCTGTCAACAGCTGGGGAGTCTCTTTTGATAGGACTCTAAGTTACATCTTCTCAAGTGGAAGTTATTCCAAGAATTGTTTGAATCATACTTAAAAAAAATCTGTTACTGTACTTCCTCATGGAGTGTACCAGGAGCTATGGAATGGTTAGGTATGACTGCAGAAAATAGAGCTGGCATGACCAGTGATAATATGTGTTTGTACAGTTCGGGTGTGTGTGCGTGTGTGTGTGGGGGGGCATCCACGTTCTTCTACTCAGTTATGCTGATGGTTCTTTCTAGAGTTCAGTCTGCTGTGTTGGCATTTTTTGAGAAGACCACTGCTTAAAAGCAGGGACCACATTGTTTAGCTGAAACCTTGCCCCTTGAAGTACATGCTTAAAAATGTCTCTATTCTCTCTCGGCTTGTTTATGGCTAACTTAAGTTGTGAGATTTGTAGGTTTTTAATTATGAGCTCTCTTGCACATGCTTAATGCTCAGAAAAATCTCATAGTTAAAACAAAGAGGCTTAATTCTCATCTAAAATGCAATATTAATTGGGGAAGAAGTAGAAGGGTATCAACCTGAGGTTGTAGACACTTAGACAACCCCACCAAGAGAGAAATATTTAGTGTAGCCAGTTATTTTACATGGCATTTGAATCCTCAAATGTATTAAAGATTTGGTAAATATCTTTGCCTCAGTCAGAAGCTGGGTATAAACCATAGGCATTCTTTTCTTTATTCTGAAGAAATATTGAGTTGAACACAGACTCTTACTTGGAAGAGCAAAAAGTAAGAGTTAAAATTACTCCAGTGTGCATAGTGTTGACATTTGCTACATATTAAGAGTTCAAGTAGAATTAAAAGTATGATTAGTAACATACATAATAAAGGTAGGGGTTTCTCCTGGACTCAATATTGAGTTTAAGAATCTCTCTTAAAATCAGAATGCAGTATGAAGATCCTTAAGACCTTAGATATAGAGTGTGCTTTCCCATAATTGTTTTAAGACAGGAGTGATAATAGCAAGCTTTTTCTCATTGTTAAGTTGCTTATATACAGGCCGTTTGGTTTATGTCTTCCAAAAAGCTGCCTATGTAGAACCGAAACAGCGTTGAAGACCAAGATGTAAGCAGTAGATATCTCAGTTTTCACTTGGTGCACACACTTTATTCATAGTAAAAACCTGGCAGGCTTTCACTTTTAGCCTATTAATTTACTTATACTTGAGTCCAAGTAAATTTTGTTGTCAGATTCTAGTTGTTCAATATGTGAGATGGAGAAAGAAAGACCTATCTGCATAGGTCTGTGATTAGTATTTGCTGGGCGTACTTCACTATGTGGCAAGTGCTTTATCTGTGTTATTTCACTGAGACTGCACTAGGAACCTCAAATCCTCATCAATGGATGGGGAGAATGAGATGGAGACAAATCAGGTAATACGTTTAAGGTTATACACTTACTGAGACAGTGAAGCAGGGATTTGAACCCTGACAGCCTCACTTTAGCATTCCCGTTCTTGACCATACTCCTACTCAGCAGAGGGAAGGGGTGCAGAGGTGCAGAATCTGGGAAGGTTTCTGGAGGTGCATTCATTCCACAGGTAGCAACTGAGCTCTACTGAGTGCTGGGCACTGATCTGGGCATTCAGAGCACAGCAGTGACCAGAAGACAATCTCTCTAGCCCTTCTTACGGCTTTTCATTCTAATTGGAGGGGAGATAAATTAAGCAATGGAATTTGCAGGATGAGTAGGAAGAGTTTCAGGCTAGATATCATATCTTCATTTTAGGAGTACACAAGCTGCTTTATATTGACTTGAGGTGGCTTGTAGCAAGACCACAGATGATGACTAGTAATAAATATAAACTGAAGCATCAAATTGGGCCTCATGAGTAGAAGTACACAAATACGTACATCAGTTAAACCAACTTCATTTTTAGTGCTGATTTAGTAAGTAGTATCATTTGGATGAAGAAGTTTAAAAGAGTATTGTGTGACTAAAATAAAGGACTGGAAAAAGAGAATAAAAAGAAAGTGTCTGTCTTAGGCTGAATGCAGAGGGTTCTAGAACAAAAAGCAAGCCTTTAGACTTAATATGCAGGACACTCTTTGAAAATTATTAAGAAAAGGGTGGAGTGTTTCATTGCCAATATCCTTCTGAGGGGGCTGGGTAAGCAGGAAAGACTGTGGAAAATTAAGAGCTTACCCAGGCAAGGATATAGAGGGTAGTATAAAAAATGCCCAGTTATGGGCTGGGTGCCTGTGGCTCAAGTGGCTAGGGTGCCAGCTGCATACACCTAAGGTGGCGGGTTCAAATCCAGCCCAGCCCGCCAAACAACAATGACAGCTGCAACCAAAAAAATAGCCAGGCATTGTGGCAAGCACCTGTGGTCCCAGCTACTTGGAAGGCTGAGGCAGGAGACTCACTTGAGCCTCAAGGAGTCGCTTGAGTTGGAGGTTGCTGTGAGCTTTGATGCCACAGCACTCCAGCCAGGGGGACAGTTTGAGGCTCTGTCTCAAAAAAAGACCAAAAACCAAAAAACAAAAACCCAGTTGTGTGTGAGAGTTCTGTAGGAGATATGCACAGTATAAGATAAGACAGAAATTCATGAGACACTAAGTAACAGTCCCACAAAGGCACTGGAGCCACAGAGTGGGTCAAGGTGAGTTGTCAAGTAGCAGTGATGGACATTGTGTGCAGAATTCAGAGGAGAAGGTCATTTTGGTGAAGCTGATTAGGAAAGAGTTTGATAGCAGAGATAGGATTTGGGTCAGGTTTTGTGTCATGGATATAGGATTTGGATAGAAGTGTCCCTGAACATTCTGTGTAGTTAGAAAGATGGTTCCCACATGTGGAATAATAAGAACATGAAAAGTCTAAGTGAATAAAGGAGAAGGGGAGGAGATTTAAACTTGTCCTTTGGATCATATCTTCCTACCCTACTTCCACCTATGGAGTGTGGGTAACAGAGCACGGGGCTCCTACCATCCTTTTATTGAGAGCTATGGATGAGGTTGAGGTCTGAGATTTGTCAGCCTCTGGGACTAGTGCTAGACTGTGTGAGCTAGCTCTCTCGAATGTCTGTACAGGCTCAAAGAATCTTCTCTGAGTTGGTGAGCAGGCTTATCTCCTGAAGGCTGACTTCCCCCACCCCACTTCCATCCTATAACAATAGAGTCCTTGGGATGTTAGCACTCTTTAGTCATTGGAGTTCACACAGACTTGATAAGGATATCTGTTCATTCTCAACAACATTTTCTGCTTCATGATGGTGGCCTCAAACTCTTGGACTCAATAGATCCTCCTGCCTCAGCCTTTTAAGTAGCTGAAACCATAACCCTGTTCCACTATGCCCTGCTAATTTGTCTATTCTTTGTAGAGCAGGGGGTTTTGCTGTGCTGCCCAGGCTGGTCTTGAAATCTTGGCCTCAAGTGTTCCTGCCTCGGCCTATTAAAGTGCTAGGATTATAGACATGAGCCACCTCGCCTATCTTATATTTGCTTTTGAATTTTTTTTTTTTTTTACTATTGAGTTAAATTTGTTTTATTTATTTGTTTATTTTAGAG